TGAAAAGAGGTTTTCGAAAGCTGGCAAAATAAGTTTTCAATTCCTGTTTGCTCATTAGGAAGGATATCAATCCAAATAAACACATGGTTGTTATCTTCTTAATAAGAGCACTGTGAAAATGTATAAGTTAAATAGGGAGGTGGTGAAAGGGCATACCTAACATAGATACACAGGTATAAAAGTCTACCAGTACAGCGGTCCCATTGATGTTAAAGTTAAAAAGGGAGGTGGTGAAGGGGCCTACCTAACATAGATACACAGGGATAAAAGTCTACCAGTACAGCAGTCCTATTGATGTTTAAGTTAAATAGGGAGGTGGTGAAAGGGCATACCTAACATAGATACACAGGGCTAAAAGTCTAACAGTACAGCGGTCCTATTGATGTTTAAGTTAAATAGGGAGGTGGTGAAGGGGCCTACCTAACATAGATACACAGGGATAAAAGTCTACCAGTACAGCAGTCCTATTGATGTTTAAGTTAAATAGGGAGGTGGTGAAAGGGCATACCTAACATAGATACACAGGGCTAAAAGTCTAACAGTACAGCGGTCCTATTGATGTTTAAGTTAAATAGGGAGGTGGTGAAGGGGCCTACCTAACATAGATACACAGGGATAAAAGTCTACCAGTACAGCAGTCCTATTGATGTTTAAGTTAAATAGGGAGGTGGTGAAGGGGCCTACCTAACATAGATACACAGGGATAAAAGTCTACCAGTACAGCAGTCCTATTGATGTTTAAGTTAAATAGGGAGGTGGTGAAGGGGCCTACCTAACATAGATACACAGGGATAAAAGTCTACCAGTACAGCGGTCCTATTGATGTATAAGTTAAATAGGGAGGTGGTGAAGGGGCATACCTAACATAGATACACAGGGATAACAGTCTACCAGTACAGCGGTCCTATTGATGTATAAGTTAAATAGGGAGGTGGTGAAGGGGCATACCTAACATAGATACACAGGGATAACAGTCTACCAGTACAGTGGTCCTATTGATGTATAAGTTAAATAGGGAGGTGGTGAAAGGGCATACCTAACATAGATACACAGGGATAACAGTCTACCAGTACAGCGGTCCCATTGATGTATAAGTTAAATAGGAAGGTGGTGAAGGGGCCTACCTAACATAGATACACAGGGATAAAAGTCTACCAGTACAGCGGTCCTATTGATGTTTAAGTTAAATAGGGAGGTGGTGAAGGGGCCTACCTAACATTGATACACAGGGATAAAAGTCTACCAGTACAGCGGTCCCATTGATGTATAAGTTAAATAGGGAGGTGGTGAAGGGGCATACCTAACATAGATACACAGGGATAAAAGTCTACCAGTACAGCGGTCCTATTGATGTTTAAGTTAAATAGGGAGGTGGTGAAGGGGCATACCTAACATAGATACACAGGGCTAAAAGTCTACCAGTACAGCGGTCCTATTGATGTATAAGTTAAATAGGGAGGTGGTGAAGGGGCCTACCTAACATAGATACACAGGGCTAACAGTCTACCAGTACAGCGGTCCTATTGATGTATAAGTTAAATAGGGAGGTGGTGAAGGGGCCTACCTAACATAGATACACAGGGATAACAGTCTACCAGTACAGCGGTCCCTTTGATGTATAAGTTAAATAGGGAGGTGGTGAAGGGGCCTACCTAACATAGATACACAGGGATAACAGTCTACCAGTACAGCGGTCCCATTGATGTATAAGTAATACATGTTTTAAGACAGTGTTAACATGATATTATTGATTCATTGATGGACTGGCTACCAGCCACGAAGCTTTTATGAAGAATTTCTCAACTGCATTCTACTACTAGCTTACCTTCCCCCTGGTTCAGAACTTATAATCAGACATCCAAGTGACCAACATTATTAGACTGCTTTTTTTCTCTAAATAATTCAACATTCAAGAGATGGGGGGCAGTCTAATCCATTAGGTGTTAAGTTTGAAACCTTTTAAAATCAGGAGAAAATTATTGAAATTAAGCTAACTTTTAGGTGTAGCATGCTAGCATCAAAATATGTAGTAAGAACAGATATATTAGCTCCAATATACCATTCAATAAGTTACATAAAAAAATTGAAAAAAAAAAAGATTTGTAACTAGTGAGACATACAGATACTGTGTTTAATTCTTTGTAAAAGTTAGCAGATATCTTGGATTGTCTGTAACTGATTTGAACTATATAAAAAGTGCACTTAATAGTACCTCCTCTCGTTTCCTATCATCGGAGAAAGTTTTGTTGTTTTTAACAAAGTACAGTAAATATTTTACGATCACTGTGACAGTTATGAGCAAAAGTGATTTATATCCTGCTAAAAAAAATCAATTTCTAGGAGACAAATTTTCCCTGGAAGTTGGCAACGTCAGTGATAATTACCAGTGTAAAATGCCCATAAATATTTATTAAAATCATGTCTATTTTTAGGAGAGAAAAAAAAGACAATTTTTTAATCACAGCTTGGTAATTTAGTAGTCATTAAGTGGTGGTTAGCCTGAAGCATAACATTAATTACTACACAAACTGGTTTACACTAGAACAAGTGTTGTAAAACAGATAATATCCAAAGTGTTAGGTTTTTAGGTGTTAGATTGAATGGCATGTAAAGGTTATATTACTGAGGTTATCAACTCCAGTTTGCTATTATCATCATAAAGAGTAGGATATATACCATAAGCAGCTACAGGTATTTGTGCTCTGGTGGACTATGAGGAACACTCCTAAATTTGAATTTAAGGTATTTGTACTGATTTGCTGTGAAAATGCTGTTCACCCTTTGAAAATTCAAACTATTTTCATATACATGTCTTGGCCTATTAAAAGTTCTCAGTAATAAATTCAGGGGTAATAATTTTGAATAGCAAATGGTTGAGGACATTTGAAAAATACACAAGGGAGCTAACTCTAAGATAAATCACAGGTATCTTGTATTAAAAGATCTAGATAATCTATATCCTTAATTAGTAAGATTTGAAAAAAAAGTATTTATTTGGAACAGCATCAATCAATAAATGTAACTTTAGAAGATTGACATGTAGTGTGAAACTTATTAAAAGGCTAAAGGATGTATTGTATATAGCTACTTTGTAGATCGGACATTATACACACGTAAACTAATCCCCTTCACAAGATTCCCATACATTCTGCCACCTATAATGGGTTAACTCAATATTACAATACAGAGTTTGAAGAAGATATGGTGTTTCAGCTCTGTAATTATTTAATGTTTAATAAGACTTTATGAAGTGAAAACTTGATGGTACAGAGTTGGACATGCACAAGTTTATGAGACAATTGTAAAGTTTCATAAAAATCATTTTAAAATGTGTGTTTTTTTTGTGTCTGAGCACAGTGCTGGATTTAAAGGGGTATAACACTAAGTTTTAAATGGAATCAAATTTGAAATATTGGTATACAACAACAAGAGATAACTGCAATTATGATGTAAACAAATTCTCATTGCAATCATTATAGTAGTTAAGGAGAATTTGTCTGGACAAGTTTTCTAACCAAAAGGGTAAAATTAAAACTGTTAATACATAGGTGTAGTTTAGACAAAGGGGCATAACTCCCTTTAAGATGAACACACTGAAATTTTAGTGAGCAAAATTTCATTTAATATCAGACTAGTATGTTTAGGGGTAATTGTTGTGATGAGTTTTTTTTATGAAAATGAATTAGTACAACTCTCTCAAAATAGGAGGTAAATGTTTAAAAAAATATAAAATGATAGTCAAAGCTTTACAGATCTAGAGGGACCAGCCGGTATTGAAACATTACGACACATCTAATATGTACATTGTTTGTGTATAAATGAAAACTTTAAAATTATAATATGATGCTCTGGTAGTATAACAAAGTTCCTATCAAAATCAGTGGAGTAGTTTAGGAGATGTACTTGTGTGAAAAATCTACACCAGACAGATGGACAGATGGACAACTGGACAGAGAGCAGGACAACCTGATTGTAACTTGTGATTGTACAATAACTAAATGTTACTCTAACATTTACAAATAAAATATTACAACAATTTTACATCCGAAATGGTATATACCTTCCTATAGAGTACTCACTACACTTTCCTATCACCAGATTGATTGCCAGATTCAGACTCTTCAGACTGTCTTCATCCAGTATTTAGCGTAACTGAATTATTTTACATCTATTACTATCTTCGTTGTCACACCATTATTCAATGCAGAGTCTTCCTGTCATTTTTTTGCCATCGTGACAGTTTACCTGCGAGGGTATAATTTTCTAGGAGGCACTGGTGTAATAAGCTACACCAGACTACCATTTCAGGTTCCTGCGGGCCATAAAGGATTTCTAACTTGACAGTGGTAAAAATGGCTTATATCACTGTTTAATGACATTGTATGGGCTTATAATGAGCCCTTTCTTACTATGATGTTCCCTTAAGGTATAAACGATCTCTCACTGACTAAAAGAAAAACAGGTGCAAAAACATAGGATGCAAACAGACAAAACTCCATCACTGCATGATGTACTGTAATGCTTTAGCACTGGGAAAGCACCAGAAATGTCACAATATTTATACAAACTCATTACTAACCTCCGTAATTATCCCATTTTGAAGTCGTTTCAGAGATCATTAGAACAAATTTCGAAAATATCTTGAAAATTCTTAAAGAGTTTAATTTGGTGCAAATCTTTTACAAAGAAGGATTATTTTCTAGGAATATAGTTTCAAGTCAGCAGAATCTGTGGATTTGTTCCTTATAGACAGGAATATAATTAAAGTTTTGTATCAAATCCCTTCCTGAAGATAAACTGAATCAACTACTACCATTGAATTGCTGTCTCCATAAAGAAAAGGTGTAGATATTATTGGGTACTCACAGAGGTGTAGATATTATTGGGTACTCATGCACAGAGGTGTAGATATTATTGGGTACTCACAGATATTATTTCAACATTCAATAGTAAAAACCTTTAATTCAACAAGATCTCAAAATAAAAAAATGTCAACTTACGAATTAATGAGGTCTGTGGGAGGAATACTTTAAGAACATGTTTCGACGGTGTCCCGTGCTGCACTGCATAAACAACTGCCAGTGAAAACATCACACAGAAACAGACGAGGGCAGGTTTGGACAGTTTTCCGGGATTGCTGAAGAGGATTTTCTGGCTGGAACATACATGGTGACACAACCATGACGACACCACCTGGGCAGACATCTTGGTTGTTTCTATGGTAACGGTGTTGACAGCGGGCTGACGGAGACTCTGTGCTTCCACCTTGAGATCATTCTGTTTAAGGACTGAAGATTTTCCATTCTGTAAAGATATGAAATAACACGGTATTTATAGCCGCTGAGTTTTTGTAACTTTCTATAAACATGTGTTTTACTTAAAAGTATTGTGTAGTACGTACTTCAGAAATACATGAGCATTTTAATTTCAATGCATACATTTTCATGAACCTTTCACAATTGTCATGTCACAGTATAATCGTGTTTAGGATGATGACCAATCATATAGCATGTCACAGTATAAACGTGTTTAGGATGATGACCAATCATATACCTTATAACAGCCAACCCTCGGTGACAAACCCCCTAGTAACACTGTGAACACGTGAGAGATTGATGACTTTAACATACTTATCTAATTAGAGGGTTACAAAATCAGTGCTCACAGCATATCTTCTATCACATTACGCTTTCTTACACATTCATCTCCGCCGAAGGCTTTCCTCACAATTTTAGTTCATTAACTTTTTTATGATGATTAGTTCACAGTATGATCAAATAATGGCAACAGTCACCCTTCAGGATAATGAAATAAGTGTAGGAACCAGAATGTCTCCGATATAGTAGATTCCATTACATATATACATCTCGCTGATAAAAACGGCCCATAGAGCTGAACTTTTAACCTGTGTTTCCATGGCATTTGAGTCTTCCCAGCATGTTTGTACCCACCTATACAGCTGGGCAGACAAAACCCTCATGCTAATTCTTCCCCCTGTGATTTTGTTTTTTCTTACCATGGACAGGTGTATCCACCCTTTTCCTGGTGTGAGATATCCTTGCCTCACCCGCTCTACGGTCGAGACGGAGGAAATCCCCAGTCAAAATGTTTATTTGGGATTACCTAAACCATTGTTTGTATACAACATTTACCAGTCAATCTTATATATATATACCATATTTGGTGAGGTTGTACAGTATGTCAGGTGACCTGGTTGACCAATGGTCAGTCACCCTATTGATAACGTCTTCAGTCAGTTCAGGGGTGTTAAGTCTCGGCATCAGCACTGTCTGTTTTTGTTCGGGAATTCCCCGAGTTACATGTCCAAATAGAACAAAGGTTACNGCCGGGGAGCACCCCCTTTAAGTCACGTACATTTTTTAATCCTGGTTTGCTTTATGGTAATCTAACATAGTTTTAGGGTAGGTGACTATAGGAGTGTGCTTGGCTAGTCAGCTAGAGTATAACCGTTGTAAGTGCCTGTTGGGGATTGCCTCGTATGCCATGTTCTTACCTATAATTTGAACACTCAGGCACTGAATTCGAAGTCGCTCGATGCCTGTTTGCAGGGCTGCCTGCTTAAGCTACTCGCTCCACAGCTTGGGATCGCTCAAGCCTTGGGGATCGCCCCACAACTTATTTTAGTCACCAGCTTGAGATCGCTCAAACCAGGGATTGCCCCTCGTGTTGACTCTTTCTTTTAAGTTAAGTGTGTTGTTTTAATTTTCTTTTGTTGTAAATAGATATGTTTGTTACAAACTATGTTGTAGTTGGGATAAGCAACAGAGCAGCCCCTACGAATGCCAAAAGATAATTCATATAACCTGAACAAGTTACTTTAGACTCAATACATTTTTAAACTTTCATTCCTGTTATTGTTGTGCATAAAATGATTGCATGATGTCATGTCTACAATGCATTGAGCCTGTAGAAACAGGGTAAGAGAAAAAGAATCGTTCATCTCCTTGAGACAAGACGGGGAATCTCAACCTTCTTGGATTAAGATTCCTAAGTTGAACCTTGTGTCTGACAATTTAATCATTTTCCCCCTCGAGTTAAACTTCCTCTATCTCATCCCAAATGAAAGATTCTAATCTTCAACTGGGAAAAATCATAAAACCAAGAAATCTCAGCTCTTTTCTTAGAGTTGTTGAGACAAGAAATGGTCAATATTTCCAATAATGACTGTTACCCCAGCAGTCAGTAAGGGCTGCCAAGACAAAAATTGTCAACATTTTCAATAACGTCACTATAACTTCATTGAGTTCACTTATTTAGTTGGAATATTCACGTAACTTTCCCTCTGTAACTAAGAATGTGAAAGGTTTGTCACAAATACATTGTGGACTATAATTTAATCACATAGGAAAATAAAGTTCAGGGCTAGAAAATAAGGTTAAGCCCCATATTCTGAGACTAGTGAAATCTCCAGATGAACTAGTGGTTCTAAAATTTGATATTACTAATACCATGTTGAATAATATTTGGTTTGTGGACTATTAAAATTGGAAACCACTAGTCAAACTCACTACTGGTTTTGAAAATTAATTTCTAGCCCTGTAAATAAAGCAAACAGTTAAAAATCTTCATGTCCAGAAATTTCTAAAAGAGGAAGGGATATACCATTCCATTTATAGATCTGTAGTAGATATTTTGTTTAATTAATACAACATTTTGACAGGTTTGGCCCTATACCAATCTGACTTCCTGGCGGTTCACAGACCCAAACTGCTATTGAACTGGTATTAATGTTAGGATGAATTCAGTCGACTGTGAATGAAATAGCTCCTACTTTATGACAAGGTGATCTGCATCATATCCCTGTATACTGAAGTAAGCTTCCCTTCGTGTCACACCGACAGACATCAACACCATTACTGCATACATTTCTTCCTTTCTAGACTTTTCTACATTTGGAATATGACATTCACAATAACTATATAAAAGAGATTAAGTTTAAATTGCCCTTAACGGTGCAATTATAGAATTAACGACTACAAAATTTACAAAAACTTTAATCCCCCTTGCCCTATACTGATCATTCTTACAAGATTATATCAAATTGGTTTTGGACTTTCCAAAGAAGCCAGAAGATGAATTGTAAATGTAACATGGATGACATCTGAGGTAGACAGATCACCATGGCCATATGTCAGACTAACCAAGGCAATGTAAGGAGAGACAATAGTCTCTGATCCTCCTCCCACAGGGATCAAACACAGGGGATAATCGAGTAATCCTCCAAATCATATTACATAAAACTTGAATTCTTCTACATGTCTGGATCGAGTCACCAAGAAATCTTTTCCAAAACTATCTTGGTATCAAATTCAAATAATAATTGAAGTATGACGTTTTAATCACAATGTATTTTTGAAACCTTCAGTACCTTTGTAGTTAATTTCTATCAAGTAAATGCCAAAGGATAAAACACAAGGGGAACACAAATATAATATTGCCTGAGTTTGTCCTTACACTATTAACACAGGTATGATATTGACCGTGTTACTGACCCTGTCAACCTTACACTATTAATACAGGTTTGATATAGACCGTGTTACTGACCCTGTCAACCTTACACTATTAACACAGGTATGATATTGACCGTGTTACTGACCCTGTCAACCTTACCAATGTCTTAATTACCCTCCTTTCCCAGTAATTGCACTAAGAACTAGAGAGTTGATCTTTTGCCTGAGTATTGTTGATTAAGCCCTATTAAACATTTAGTTGATCTTCACTTTTCCCCCATCCATCTTACAGCCACACATGGGTTAGCCTGCATCCTAACTTGTAACCCTGAACTCTTCAAACCCATCAGTTAAATACAGAGATGTTTTAACCTTTGTAATCATAACTAAAATTCACCAATTTTATGTCATTTTGTTTCCGATTCACTGTTTGAAATTCCAGTTATCTATTTTGCTCCCAGCCTACTGTCCATAAGATCCTTTGTACAAAGCTGCTGATAATTCTTCCAATTTAGTTGTACCCTACAGCTCAGAACTGCAGGGTAAAATTTAGTTTGAAGTTAATATCTCCACAGATCTAGCTGCTGGTGAGATCACCTTCCTGCGTCTCTGTGGGCATATGAACACCTTGAAACAAGTTTATGATCTTCCAGAATTAAACACACACAGGTTTCAATGCACTTCTAGGCTCTTATCAAGCACAATGGATTTTATGAATTCAAATTTCAAATGATTTATGGCTATCATGGTTTCAATTGAAATCAAATTTCTTTGAAACCATGTAACCCATGTATTTGATAGTTCTGCTATCTCATTGGAGTTTCCTCACAGAACAAATATGGCCATCTAAATTCTATCTCTTCATCGATGTTTGAGTCCAAATTTTGTTACAGAATGCTGAATCTTGTAAACTCTTTAATAGCCATTCCCAATGGGTCTAAATGTAACAATCAGGGTCAACAGAAGTCTTGGAATAGAAACGCACTGCTTGTAATGTAATCATAAATAGATGTACCATATATTACAATGCTGCCTAAAGACATTGATGATATGACAGCCACCCTACATCCCTGGACTTTCTCATATACAGTCTATTTGGTGTACTATGATATGACAGCCACCCTACATCCCTGGACTTTCTCATATACTGTCTATTTGTTGTACTATGATATGACAGCCACCCTTCATCCCTGGACTTTCTCATATACACTCTATTTGTTGTACTATGATATGACAGCCACCCTACATCCCTGGACTTTCTCATAATATTACACTCTATTTGTTGTACTATGATATGACAGCCACCCTACATCCCTGGACTTTCTCTTATACAGGCTATGTGTTGTACTATGATATGACAGCCACCCTACATCCCTGGACTTTCTTATATACAGTCTATTTGTTGTACTATGATATGACGGCCACCCTACATCCCTGGACTTTCTCATATACAGTATATTTGTTGTACTATGATATGACAGCCACCCTACATCCCTGGGCTTTCTCATATACAGTCTATTTGTTGTACTATGATTTGACAGCCACCCTACATCCCTGGACTTTCTCATATACAGTCTATCTTGTTGTACTAGCACCTTTAGTCCACACTGACTTGATTGTGAAGCCTCTGGATCACTTGAGACAAACATTCTGTCATTCCCTCTGTCCCCCACCCCACCCCCAAACTATTACAGAATAGTGAGACAACCAACTTAGTGGTTGGTGAATAGATGAGGCTCCAGAAACATTTTTAAGGATCCTTGTCCCATTGCACTGTTTTTTCCCCTTATATATATATAGTAACGCCATCATCTTAATTTTGCTTTGAAGATA